TCTCGTATTAGATCAGAACTGATTGGAATATCTAAGTCTACCATTTCTCTCCTCCTAAGAAAGATGAAAATGGGGTGTAAATCCAGTATGTCAGGAATATCTGTGGTGACCGGTACACTCCAGTGGAAGTGAAAATAGTGTTAGGCATTGTTAGTAAACCAGGGGCCTCTTTAAAACCCAGAAAAATTGAAAGTGTGTTCAAAGAGAAAAAAATTCTCACTGGGTGATGCTGGAATGCAAGAGCTTGAATATTCGTGGGGAGGTAAGTTAGGTTGTTTTGTACAATACCTACTTTTCTCCCCTTGGCAAATTGGGGTCTGGGGGCGGGGAACAAGGTTGTTATTAATAAGGCTGTTTGTAAATCCAGCATAACCCTCAGAACCAGGATGACAAATGCCAACCTGCTTTCTGTACAGGAAAGAAAAGATCATAAAAGGGTATGTGGAGAGAAACAAACTGATCTAGCAAATCCTACCTTTGACGTACAGCCCTCAGCTAAGTCTCCACTGTATGTGAAGTTTAGAACCCTGGCAGTTTCTAGGCCACTTAGAGATTCACCATGCATCTTGTTTTTATTTTCTGTCCCTTGGCTCTGCAGGGACTAAGATGCATTATTTAGGATCTTCCTTTTAATTAAAAAAGGCATGTCAGTTTGGGGGAGAGATTTTTTTTTTTGACAACCCTTTTCTGCATTGTTAATTTTAACAATAAATAGCATCTTCAGATTTTAGTACTTCATTTCCCAAGAACATATAGAATGTGTGCCCACTACACTGTGTCTTAGCCAGTTCCTAGCCTAACAGTTACTGCCTTGTATTCCCATCTCAAAGAATTATGTTTTCCAGTTAGGAAAGAAGAGACCATGAAAGTGGATACTGAGAGTTGGGGTGAGTGGGAATATTGTTCCAACAGATTCCCAAGTGGGGATGCCAAACATGTGCTGTATAACACCCCAGAGGTATCTATCTATACAACAGTGATGAGTGAAGTGATCTTTATGTACAGTTTATATATGAGGTTAACTCAATAAAACATTGTGCAATCCTGTGGGATGAAATGTCAGATATGTTCTATCCTTCTCTACCCTTTACTGTTCTCCGTTAATGAGTGCTGTACATCTACAATTGTTTGATTCCAGAAACGAGCCTACAAAAGTTATGTCCGGGCCCTTCCCATATTGAAGAAGATGGGAGTCAGCTCAATCCTTCTCCGCAAGAGCATTGGTGCCCTGGAGGTGGCATGTGGAATTGTCATGACACTGGTGCCTGGACGCCCCAAGGACGTGGCCAACTTTTTCCTCCTGCTGCTTGTGCTCGCTGTACTCTTTTTTCACCAGTTAGTGGGTGACCCACTCAAGCGCTATGCCCATGCCCTTGTCTTTGGGATCCTGCTCACTTGCCGCCTACTGATCGCCCGCCAGCCTGAGGAGCAGCCACCTGAGAAGAGGATCCTGTTGGTGAATGGTGATGAGCAGCCACTTGCCCACGAGGCAGCTCCTGAGAAAGGCAAAGTAAAGGTGTCTTAGAGGAATGCATTTGAGGGACATGGACCCTCCAGGCAGCTCTCTCCAAAAAAAAAATCAGTTTTTTTATTATTTTTTGTTTTGTTTGTTTAAAAGGTTGCATTGGGGGCTTAGGAAACACAGTCTGTCAGCCAATCACCGCATGATGGCTTATGCAACCCAAACACCATAGAACTACCCTCTTCCCTAACCATATCCATACACATTGTCTTTTAATTAGTCCATGGAGGAAAAATGTACCTTGTTGAATGTGTGTTCATGGGAGGGAGCCCCTACTCAGAACCACCTCTGTGACAAATCTTCTGTGTGGACTGGTTATGGGGAAAAAGATCTGTGATCCCTTTATACCTCACCTGCCTGGGTTTTCCCTTTTGCACAGGGTTTAACACTAGAGCAATGAACTGGACAGAGAAACTATTTTTCCTGCTTCCCATGAGCCAATTGTTGCATCCCTTCCACCTCTCTCAGTGGAGAGTAAGGATTACGGATTAGAACTGTCCAAAGGTTGGTATTTGCCCAGTAATAAACCCACGTACCTGTTGCTGGCAAAAAGAGCAGTCATGGTCAGTGTCTCCCTCCAAAAATAAATAAGTAAATAAATAAATCCCCTTTCCTGCCAACTGCTCACCCAGACTTTATGGAATTGCCAGCTATTGTTATGGGTGCCCAGGATCCTCATTCCACATTCACACAGGAGGTCACGGAGCAAGTAGGGGAGCAGTCTTGTCACAAAGAGCCTGATTCTCTGTGTTATATCTGAAAATTTGGGAGATGCATTTAAATTTTGTTACTTTTCTTGGTATTTATTTGTGTGTGTTTTTTTAATTACTCATGAAAATAAACTTTTTGAAATTTGAAGGAAAATGTCTTGGCAGAGTTGAATGTCTTCCTAGAATGCCATCTGCCTAAAAGTCCCTTCCTGGTTGAGTATGACCATGTCTATCATGGAAAGGAAAATGTAGTGCTGAAAAGTGCTAGATAATGCACATTGGAAAGAACAATCTGAACTACATCATTGTGTTCTAAATTTACTATAACCATTTAAGAAAGGGACTGACCATTATTATGACCATTGAAAAAATATCTGCTCAGTGTGAAGAGGCAATCAGAAAGGCAAACTTGCTAGGGTATACGAAGAAAGAGCTAGAGAATAATACTGAAAATATTATTATATAAACCAAGGATACGTATTAACCTGGAGTACTGTGTCAGGTCTAGCCACCCACTTTGCCCCTTTTTTAAGGATGTAGCAGAAATAGACTAGGTGCCACCTATATTGCAGAAACTTTCAATCCCAGCCCTTGAAAAATTGTATTCAGCACATTATGACAGCATTCAACTGCATATATGTTAAGGATGTGTCCATTGTTAAGGGAGAGATACCATTTTCGTAAGTTTGTTCTGCATGTATATAAACGCCCCCATTTTTATTTCAAGTTCCCTGAGGTCTTGTCATGATGCAGTCATAAGGATACCTTGCAGAACAGATAGGTTGGGGATGAAAAAAGCCATTTATGGGGAGAATTGGGTGAATATGGGGGATTGAGGCTGACATTTGCAGAACTTCCAGTTGTGCTTAGTTACCTCTCACAACAGCTGTCCTGGAGAATACAGCGAAAATTATAAAAGAGACCATGCTTGTTACAGAATCTTCTGTTTTAAGGGACTACCCCAAAGTCAGCCCAAATGCATACGTAGTTTGTTCCACCTTCTGAAGTAATTTCTTACCTGATACCCAAAATTAAATGTCACTGTGTTTATTTTTAAAATATCTTTACAGAACCACCAAGACATGCACATGCTTAAACTAAGTGTCCACAGTTGTATTGCTGTGATCCTCTGCATGTCTGCCACTCACTTGTGTCACATCTAAAATTTACATAAAGCTTTTGGGAGCAGGTTCATGTCTTTAGTGAAGTACCTCATATAGCTTTGGACACCCTACCAATAAAGCATAATCAGCATAAAATCTTGAAAATTTCATCAATTTGATGCAAACTAGAAGCACTTCATATGCCATGAAAGCCTGAAAACCTTCCCATCTCTCCACCGCCATCCCCTTTTCAGAGCCTTTACAGTTCCCCCACATTGGACTATTATTATGACCCCCAATTGCAGCTACATCTTTCATTAAAGAACAAGATAGGGCCTGCTTTTTGAAGGCCACCAACAAAACTCTATATGCCTATATTGGGTTGCCCTCTCTCCTTGCCCCAATGTGTGTTGGCATGCTACTTTTGGAGCATTAGTCATTCCTGCTTGCTAGAGGTGAAGAGGTAAGGGGCCAGAAATTGAATCCAGGCCCCATGCATGGCATCTTATCATGCTAACTTCCCCTTTCAGGCTCCTTTTTACTCCTCTCATTTTTCCCTTCTTTTGCCTGTAAATTCAGCAATGTCCCCTCCCATCATGCTGCCACCACTTCAGCTCTGCTGAGGGCAGCCCCTTTCAAGGGCCTGTCCTCCCTAGAAACAACATAGGAGCTGCAGGAGAGATACCTTGCTTGTTGCGAGTGGCACTGCAGTGACTTCCCTGATAGAGGCACAGGGCTTGCAGGGCAAAGCCTCTCTTTGTGGGAGTCAAAAGGCAGCTCTGACAAAGCAAGAGGGATGGTGAGTTGGTGCATCGACTTCATGGCTTGCTGAAAACCCCACACCCTCTGCTGTGTTTCCACTTGCATAAGGCTTGCCAGAGCACATGTTGCTGCCCCCTATGCTGAGGTGCATTGGGGTATGTGCACAGGGGTGGACAGGCATATGCATGTAGGTGGGCAGCAGGCATGTGTAAGTGGACATGGGTGGGCAACCAGGCATGGGCAGGTTGGCTTGGGCAGGCAGGTGTAAGCTGGCTTGGGTGAATAGGCAGGCAGGCACGTGTAGGTGGGCATGGGGGTGGAGGTGGGCATGGCTCCCCTGCACGCTCCTGGGCACAGGGCACACAGGTCTGTTCGTGGGCAGCGGTGTGTGAACGCCTCAGAGACATCAGGTAGGAAGCCTCTGGCGCCCCTGCACCTCCAGCGCACTGGGGAAGAGGCCCCCTGGGCTCCTCTGCCTGTCTGCCCCCTGCGTGGTGTGGCGCTGCCAGGGAAGGGGGCAGCCCCCTTGCCCTGATGAGGGAGGGTCCCCTACATAGGCCTGGCCCACGCTCGACCTCGCTCTTGGCTAACTCAAGGTTCTTCCTCCAACCCGCGCGCCAGCACCTCTGCAGTCGCGTGACCCCCTGACCCTGACCCAACCGACAAAAAAAAGTCCGCCATAGCACTGAGCACGCGCATAGCCCAGTCACCAACCTCAATGACCCTAATACGCATGCGTAAAGACATCCAGCTCCTTTCCCCCTCCCGCGTGGGAAGTTGCGCATGCTCACAAGGAACAGTGACGCTCTCATGAGGTCACTTTTTGTCCGACCAATCCGTACCCGAGAGCTCCACGCGCGCGCGCAATGATCACCTCCTCGCTCTAACTCCTGCCTTACGATTGCGTTCTCCGCTTGCGTAGGGAGTGGCGCGGGGATTTGAATTGCTTCGGACGGTTAAAAAAAACCCGTAACAGTGGAGTCAGGTAAAGGGGGGATGTTACCATGGCAGCGTGGGCAGCCACCTGAGGAAATAGATATCCGGGGGGACAGGCGTGTTACGGGGGCCGGTCGGTAACCACCGGGGGTGAGGGAGGCAGGGGATGACAGTCCTCGCGCAGGGCCCAAGGGCTGGCAGCGCAGGATAGCTGGGCACCTCGCAGGCCTGTCTGAGGTCGGGCCCTGAGCCTCGCTAGGGCCGGGACAGCTCCGAGCAGCGCGGGGGCCTTTGGGTGCTCCATGCTGAGGGCCCTGCTGCGGGTGCCGAGCGCAGAGCAATGGCCCAGAAGATGGGGAGCTGGGAGCGCGGGGTGTGAGCCCGCAGAGCAGGGATCCCTAGACATGTGGGCGATGGGCAGCCTCCTGCCTGATTTGACTGCTCACGGTCCTGTTTCTGTCTCTGCATTGTTCTTTCCCCCTTTATTGGCAATTCAGAGCTGTGGGTTATTTAAAGGGGCCCTGTCAACTTGAATGTTTAAATATTGATTATTGTAGAATATATCTGTTTGTTTTTCTGCTCTGTTACTGATGTATTCAAGAACCTTTTTGGCCAGGGGGACTTTTGTGGCCTGGAGAGACAACAATACCAAACTGCTCGTGCATGGGGTAGAATAGTAATCCCCAGCATTTCTTCTGTTTTGATTATTTTTGCTAACTTTTTCAGTGTTATGTGTTCTAATTGTAAATGTCTTTCAGACACTTAATTTTCAAGATGACATATTCCCCTTTAAAAATTCCTACTTGTGAGCTTTCCTTCATCTTTCTCTGCTGGAGGGAAGAATTGGGCTTGTCTGTACACACTGGATGGCCTGTGTATACAGGTACTCTTCTAACTGGGTTATCTGACCTTTCTGGGGCACATGTTGCTCTAAGTGGTTTATGCCAAGTCATAGTTAGTTACTTTATGCCGAATCCTTTAGTGGGTTTGTTGGAAAGGCTGTGGATAAACTGACTTTCATCTTCTTGCAGGCAAGTGGCTCTTTGATGTTCTTCAACTGCTGGGGGTATATCTGGCTTTGGGGCCTTGATTTATATTCTTGCCTCTTTGGGGGAAAGATTTGGAACCAGACTGGCAGATGAGTCAGTACTTAATTCGCCCTTCCCAGCTGGGAGATTGAAGGGATGCAGCAAAGAGAGAATGCCAAGAATCCAAAGCAGGCTTTGCAGGTTCGCCGTAGTAGCCTCTCTGCATGGCAAATAGGAGAGAGAACAGCTGGCCCAAAGACTGCGGACTTGAAAAGTGCCCAGAAACATGAGAAAGGGAAGCAGCAATCTGCCAGTGACAGGGCAGGCAACAGCACACAAGACCATCTGGAGCAAGCTCTGACCTATTTTGAGAGAGGTAAGAGCAGTGATAACTTTGCTTCTGATATTGAAAAGGGCACTATCAACTTGAAATGTAGTCCATTTTTAAATGAGTTTAAAATAGTTTCACGTGCAACTTGAGTCCATCTGGCTGTTTTTGTGGTTTTATAATTATTTTCCTATCTTGATTTTTTTCTTCTTCTCTCCTATTGCTTTGTGAAACACCCAGACAGAGAGAACAAACTATACAGAGGAACCATTAATGGGAGCTGTGGGTGGACAGCAGCTTTTGAAAAGCAGGGTGTTTTCTCTTAAAGTGGTAAACTATGAGCAGAAGACAGATTCGGGGGTAGAATGCATCCCCGTGGACATACACATTTCTCAGGAGGATGATGATCAGGATGCACTTTAATCCCTACATTTTTTTTCTTCTTTTAGTTAAAGACTACATTCCACTGAAAAAGAATGAGGTTCTGCAAAAACACTTGGCTACTGTGGAAAGCATTGCCCTGCAGAGAGGATTATCCCCAGAAGGACTTGATGTGTTGCTGAATGTGGCACTCAGTGGCCACCTTGGTAAAACATTCAGAAATTGCTAGCATGTCCACTGTGAATGTGTCTTCCTTCCCTCCTGCCACTTTCTTACCATATCCATGGCTTTCAGAGAATATGTTATGGTGGTTGTATTGTCATGGTTTGTCCCTTACTGTAAATGTACAGCATCCTTAAAGTTCTTTAATGTACATTCTGAGTTCTTGCTAAAATAAGTGTAGCAAACTTAGTAGGGACAAGGAATACTTCGGATAAAAATTGTAAATAAATATAAAAAAACCTATTGTCTTCAATATTTAAAAGAATACTGCTGTGTCACTTACAGGCTTGTAGTCCCTAGAAACCTTTCTCTCCTCTTCCATGCTGGGGATTGTTTGGGTTTCTTCTCCCCTGACATGCAGCTGACATGGCTGCTTATTTTTAGCTTCAACTCTTGCAGTGTCTCATACAGACAAAGGAATGGAGTGTCAGTGCAGACTTGATAAGTGTGTTTTTTCAAAATTACTGACCACCATTTTGCTTTTAAATTTGGTGATGAGCCAATGGATTTAAAACAAATAACAATCCTCCACCTCAAAAACCTAAAGATGCATGTTAGAGTGTGGAGGATATTTTTCTTCTGGTTATTACAACTTTAGTAGGTCCCTTTTATTGGCATAAAATAATTGGTGCCTCTTTAAAAAACTAAATTGCTGATGTGAAACTGACAATCTCACATTTTATATGTTGATAACATTACAAACCATGAGTGAAATTTTAAACACTTAATTCAGTTCTCACTCTTACTCTGATTTTACTTTTTCCCTTGTCCTGAGTAATCACAATAGACTAGTCGGTTTCACTTTCTAGCTCTCATGTACTAGCACCATGTTGCAAATGCTGTAATGGAATGCAGTTCAATATACTGTATTTGAAATTTTGAAAAGAGCTAGGCAGACATTTCTATTGGTCTTATGTTTACAAAACTCAAGTTTTAGTCCATATTTGACCTGCCAGTTTCATTTCAACTTTCAATTTTCCCTCTTGTCAGACTGGCAGAGACCCTGTGGGGTTTCGTCTTTCTCTGTAGTATGGGGCACAGGTCACTTGCAGGTTTAAACTAGTGTAAATTATTGATTCTCTGTAACTTGAGGTCTTTAAATCATGATTTGCGGACTTCAGTAACTCAACCAGAGGTTAGGGGGCTATTACAGGAATGGGTAGGTGAGGTTCTGTGGCCTGCAATGTGCAGGAGGTCCGACTAGATCAGGGATCGGCAACCTTTGGCACACGGCCCATCAGGGAAATCCGCTGGCAGGCTGGGAGGGTTTGTTTACCTGCAGCGGCCGCAGGTTCGGCCAATCGCAGCTCCCACAGGCCGTGGTTTGCCGTTCCAGGCCAATGGGGGCTGCGGGAAGCAGTTTGGGCTGAGGGATGTGCTGGCCGCCGCTTCCTGCAGCCCCCATTGGCCTGGAATGGCGAACCGCAGCCAATGGGAGCTGTGATCGGCCAAACCTGGGGACGCTGCAGGTAAACAAACCGGCCCGGCCCGCCAGCGGGTTTCCCTGACGGGCCGCATGCCAAAGGTTGCTGATCCCTGGACTAAATGATCACAGTGGTCCCTTCTGACCTTTAAAGTTGAGTTTAAAATAGCACACTAGTGCTTTACATCATACACCAGTATTGAATAGTGTTGGCTTGTAGTCCTAAGTCTCTTTCGAGCACTGTCAAGCTACTGACTTAGACGCTATATGGCAACAAAAGAACAGCTGCTAATGCATGTGTTTTGTATTGTTTTCTTATGTTGTTTGTTCCTTAGTCAAATATTGGCTATAAAGAATTCCAGTTACTTTTGCCTGACTCTAGTATTTAAATAGTGTTTAGTTCTTTAGTTAAAGTCCTGGGGTGGTCTAATTTTATGTCCACTAGCCAATACCTGTAATTAGGATGAACCTGGCACTGGCTAATAATATAGGAATATGAAGGTGGTGGTTTTTAGGTTTCAGGCCACTTGGATTTATAATCTGAAATGGTTTCGGATACTCTGACCTTATGCTGATTCAAAGGAAATTCCCTTTTTTCTCCAGCTCATACTTCCATAAACTCCAGGTATCTAGGCTAATAAAGGCAATATGCACGTCAACAGGCTGTATTTTTTTTTTTTTTCCTCTGAGTTACGCTGCTGTAAATCCAGAGTAACTGCATTGAAGCTAATGGAGTTGCACGTCTGTAAAACTGGTGTGAGGACAATCAAGTTCCTACTTTTTGACTATTAACCAGTCTTAAGGCTTTTTGTAAGAATTTTTTCCAGTAAGTCCTTGTTAGATTCTTATGCAGCTATCACAGGCTGGAATATAGGTAAATAATCTGTCCCAGAAAGGACATGATGGTCTCACCTGCATATGACATGGCAAAGAACCTGGAACTTGAAGCAATGTCTCACTCTGAATGGTCTCTTTTGTAGCTGATACAGTAAATACTCGGATCTTGAAGTGCCTGATTCCAGCCTCAGTAATAGCAGAAAGTTCAGTGGTTTCAGCAGTATCCTGGCTCTGTGTTGGCAAATGCTCTGGCAGCACCCAGGTAACTTTACAAACACTTGTAGTAGTAATGGCTACTGGGGACAGATGATTCAGAGCAGGCTGCTTGTAGGAAGAGGAAATCCAGAGGCTTAATGTGCAAAGTCATCACATAGTTGGTACCCGTTAGCAAAACTGGCAGAGAATCCTAGGCACTGGAATAGCAGGTCTTTGACAGAGTTGTGTGGGAAGTAGACACAACTTCTGCTTATTCTGTACTTTTGAGTTTCTTAGGGAAGCTACTTACATCAAGATGTTCAATATGCCTCTGTGGTGTCAAGCATTTCCCCAAAATGCACCAAGATGTTCCTGCCTATCATGATAGTTCAGGATCTGAACAAAATATGGCCTCAATTAATCCTTGAAGGAGCATAGATTGAAGCCTTTTTCTTGGAATCCCTTATGTCTGACTGGTCTGCATGGGAGACTAGTCAGAGCAGTCTAAATCCAAGTGATCAGTTCCCTAGAGGTTAGCATGGACTCAAAACCAGGGCACTTTCTCCATTCTAAGTTTACTGTTTACTGCTTTCCCCAAGCTGTAGCACGATAACAAGGAGATTGGCTATACCAAACTGTTCAAAGATGTCCCCTGGCTGCCTTGCTGATCTCAAGGAGGGTGTACAACTTTAAATAAGTCCTCTGGAGTGGGGTGATGGTCGGTCGGTCGGTCTGGTCTTTTCCCTCATTTACTGCAGCATGATTCTCTTGTTTCGCTGCAGCTGCTCTTCTTAAGATGGCTGATTGCAATGTTTGACTTCATTGATCACAAAGAAAAGCTTCATGCACTCTATGGCTTCTTCTTCTGCTCCCTGCAAGATGAGAAGCTGGTAAGGAAAACAGGAGAATGTTCCTTTGGTTCTGAACAAATTTAGAGTGTTCACCTGTACTGTACGTCTTATTATGCTGGCCTGGAGTAACTAGAGAGTGGAGTCCTTTCCTCTAGTGCTGTACTATGTGTTTATAGTAGAGTGACTGGCCCTCTTCACTCTGCTTTTTTCCAATGATTCCAAAATTTCTTCTGAACCTAGGACACCCAGCATGGAAGTTCAACATAAGATTACTCTAGTTTGGCACCGACAGCAAGGTTGTGTAAATGAGCATCCAAGACTTCATGCTTTGTAACAAGAGCAAAGTGACAGCGAATGCTGTCTCAGTTCCCAAGAGACACTGTGACACTGCAGTGTTTAGCGTTGCTTTTAATGTCAGACAGCGAAGAGGTAAAACTCCCAGGATGGAACTATCTGTACATCATAGGCAAAAAAGAGCCTTTTAAAGTAATGCTTATTTAATAAACAGAATCCAAATGCCATTCCACTAAGATAAATGTAACTTAAGTGGGAATCAGGCAGTTGTGACTTTTTTATATGGTAGTTACATAAGTATTTTATTATCTGGAATGTAAGGTCACCCATTGTCTCATGTCGTGAAGGTGTGAAATACTGATCTCTTCAGAACTGTACCTGGGGTCAGAAAAGCATGTAACATTTTCATATGCTGCCCTCTGGGACTGTTAGAAAACATCAAACAAATGAAGATGCATAGACTTCTATAGAAATTACCCTAGAAACCTATAGAATTTGAGACAATGAGGCCATTTCTGTAGAATTTTTTAACTGACATATGGCATACTCTAGCAGGAGCATCATTCTATTTCTGTAGGGTTTTTAAAAAAATATTATAGTGAGAGTATTTTCTATTAAATCCCATAGGCATTTTCCATGAGAGAGCAGAGACATTAATTGCTTTTAATTGTGAGAAGTCCTGCATGATGTTTTTGATGTTTAAAGTGTATTGCAGTACAGTAGACTTACACCAAAGAGGATATATTTCCTGCAGTATGTTTGGCTGGTTTTGCTGAACTTCGCTTGTGACCTCTGCTGAAAATTGGATTCCTACAACTGAATTCCTACCCTTTTAAATACTAGTTTCTGGCACAATAGGTCAGTTGAAAGTGCAGCAAAGATTAATATCTGGCACAAAAAAATCAATGCCAGACCCCCAATGCATTTGCTGCAATTATAAGCGCTGATAAAAGAAGCTGTTTTTGATAAAACTGTGAGCTGGTTTTGTGTACATTAATTCATGTCCTTTTGCTCACCAACTTCTGAATTGATTAGCCTTCATTTGAGAAACAAGGGCCATCTCCCAAATGGACCCTGACTGAACAACTTCACCAACGAATGTGCATAATGGTGTTAAATGAAACTATTGGCATACGCATTGGTTGTCAGTTCTAATGCAGAACTGTACTGGTACTGTATACATATGACAGTGAGGACTTCTTCCTGAGGAATCTAGTGCATGTTCTGCATCCTGGTAACTGACTGAAGCACTTCAACCTCAGTATGGCAGCAGGATCCTGAGGAGATTTACTTAAGTATGAGATACCAGCCTGTTAGTTGTGTCCAGTGGAAGTAGTTTCTGAATTTAGCCTATTAACCATCCTGATGAATCAGATTGCTTACTGATCCTTTTTCTCCGCAGTGCCCCTATGTTTGTCATCTGCTGTATCTGCTGACCAGAAGAGAGAGCGGTGAGTCCATTCAGTCCTGACAGTTCCTATGGGTCCAGTTGATTGGGCCATACAGAACATAAATATGTATTGACCATCCATTTGTGTGATACAAGGCTGGTTTCATGTGCTCAGAAAAGGGATGACCATTATCTTCCCTAGTGCTTTCTTCCTACCGTGCTAACATGATGGCTTCAAAAATTCATCAGTTTTAAGGCCAGAAAGGATCCATTATGCTCTTTTAGGCTGACTTGCATAACAGGCCAAAAAACCTTGACCAGTAATTTCTGCATACAGCTGATAATGGATCTGTCTGTTCCTGCCCTTTTCCTTGTGTAACTTGATCTGTTTTGGTGTATTGGCCAAGAGGCTTCTAATTTGTACCCAAATGTCTGATATGTTGTATTCTACCCATGATGTTCTTAATTTTTTTTCTTTTCCCAGTTAAGCCTTTTCGGGTGAGGAGACTGGTAGATCTACAGGCAAAGATGGTGAGTCACTAGAAATCCTGAAATGAGTAAGCAGTATAACTGGAATTAGGCTTACAACTCTTATGGTTAATGTTTTCACAGGAATGGCAAATATCGTTGCAAAGGATGAGGTTGTTAGACTTCGGAATCGTAGCTTCCAGCCTTTGGAATGCCAGGGGCTGCACACACAGCTTGCCATTTAGCACAAGGGCTGCACCTAACCTGCACACATCCCTAATTTGGACTTTGTGTCCCTTCCAAGCACCCACACAATGATACTTACACTTTTTTTTTTTAAATTACACATTTTACAGCTAGGGATGATAAAATTACACAAATTTGAAAGCGATCTCTTGGCTTCCCTTTTCCTTTCCTTCACTCCCTTCTATCTTCCACTCTCCTGTTCACTTCATATTTCTTCTGTGGCATTGTTATCCAAGAATAACAAAACAGTGGGCAGATATCTCCATTATGTGAAAGGGAAACTGAGGCACAAATGCTGTGAATTGCTCAAGGTACCCATGTCAGTATCAGAACCAGGAATAAAACCTGGGATGTTGACTCTAGGTCACTTCGTCTAACCACCAGACTGTTTCTTCCCAACCCATACTTTTATTCTCTATACCTTTTCTTTCTGTTTGATTATCTTTTGGTGTTCTCTTTCCCTTTGCTGCCAATCCCCTGTCTGCCTTCTCTAGGTGTCCTCCATTTCCTTGTCTTCCCTTCCCCTTCTCTTGCATCTATAATCAATCTTGGACAGCATTTATTTTCCTTTGGTACTCTTATCCTTTGCAACCTACTCTTGCATTAGACTCCCAACTGCAGCATCTTCTTGGTTATCCCAGCATCTCTTCTTCCCCCTTCTAGAAAGGTAGTGGGAACCTGAATCCAGAGGGAGGAGCAGCTACTGCTCTTTCTCTACCTTCTACAGACCAACTGAGATTTTTAAAAGACCTACCAAGTGAGATCATGAACTGTAAAACACACACTGATGGCTAACAAGCTGTCCATCACAGTATTAGAACAGGACACAGAATGTAATGTGTCTGCAGATATGCAGACATAGAATATAAATGATTTGGGAGAGAGCTTTTGTCTATTCAACAATAACACTTCTGGGTTTTATTGGCTCTGAAACGTTTCACATTGTGCAGGACATATGGGTGGAAAACTGAAAAATATGAAAGTTCCTCAACATTTGGATGTTGAGGACTCTCTCCCTTCTTCCACCCACAAAAGCTATTGCCATTAAAATAGTTGTCATCTTTATGTTGGATTCTCAGAATACAAAAATGCCAAGAAAATAATTTAACTTTTTAAAACCATCAAACTCCACTTTCAGCTATGCTGCTTTTGATTAGGATCTGGCAATGGCAGGAAACAAATGAGGGCTTTGCTGCTGAAGTTTTTGCAGAGGGGTTAATTGGGGCGGATGGCTTTCTGTTCCAAACTGCTCAAGGCCACTGAAGCATTAAAGACCAAAGTCTCACTTTTTCTGTCATCTGACCAGCTTGGTATTAATCTTTCTGGATGGGATATTGAGCAATTGGCAACTGTTGAATTTTTGGGAAACAGACCATTTTAGAGAATGTTCAAAAGATGTGTACATTCGTAGAGCAGCAGCCACCACCACCAAGTTCTGGGTCCTTGATTGACTTCTGTGGAAATGTCAGAGTTTGAAGCTGTGGATTTACAGGACTATTGTATGCCAGTGAAACATGGGTGCTGGGGAGGCTGAAGAGCATCAGACTGACGTCTTCTATTCTCATTGTCTTCGTTGGCTGCTTCATGTTAAGTGGCAGGACAGGATCAGCAATGAGCATATTGATAGCTAAACCCATCCACCACCCTCATCAGCATTGGTTCAGTCTTGCTGACTTTTTTGGTACGGACATACTATTAGGATGGAAGACCAATGAATTATGAAATGCGTTTACCAAGGAATGTTGCTACATAGCTAACAATCACCTGGGCACCAAAAATTTCTGTGGTGCAAAAAGATTGTTCAGTCTATGTCCATTACTGGCATCCATCTAGACAGTCTTAAGGATGTAGCTAGATACGATCTCAATGGCATTTGATCTGCAGGAAGCCTGTCCCTTTGGGATTTGCCATGATGATGATTTGCGAAAGGTGCTTTTGAGACTTCATGATTGGAAATATATGCTTCTGGTATGATTGTTTTGAGGAAAAGAGTAGACTACAAAATGTGGGGCAATGGCTACATTTGGATAATCTAGCTAGAGACATCTATCCCAGAAGGATTGGTATTATTCACAGAGGTCTTAAAATGGTGTTAAACTCCTGCAATTGTCAGTTTTTTCTTATCTCTGTGGCACAACTCATCCCTCTTCACCCCTCAATTTAATGTCAATTTAACATTTACATGGTACTTGTAACAGACAATCTTAGAGGATATTCTCTTATTATATATCTTACAGATTGTACAATGAGAACTCTTCCTGTAAGAGCTAGCTATTAATATATTTTACAAAATCAGTAGCACTTCAAGAAGTTTAACTATATAATGCTATGTTCACTCCTTGGGTAATGAAGTGCAATTGGGGAGTATGGGTATCGTAGTAAAACTGCTTGCATGTGTATTTAGGCAAAATAGATATGATATACATTTTATACAGTAATTTTGATTTATTAGTAGTCTGATCTATGGCAATTTAAACTGTATCTTCTTTTCCCACCCAAACTTCCTTACTATTTCCAGTCCTCAGTAGAGATGTTCTTTTCTTCCTCCTTTTCCTCCCTCCTCAGTTGCACAATGCTAATTTGGACTGATTAATAACACACTAGTGTGTAGACTTGCAGTATCAATTGGGTTTTCCTTGCTGTTTCTTATGGTGCACATTTTCACTCTCTCTTCTTTTTCTTCTAGGGAATGCAGCCTCATCTGCAGGCTCTGCTATCACTGTACAAACTTTTCTGCCCTGAGCTGGTGTCCATAACTCTGCCTGCAAAGATGAAGGTGAGGAATGGAGTGACTCTGATGTGTCTGAGTTGGGATTAAAGTCTGTACTGTCCTTCCTACATAAGCAGCTTTGCTTCATGATTCAGTGGTGAAAGAATAATTCTGTACCCTCTCTCCACTCAGTAAAACGAAACCATTAGAGTTTTCTATGGGAATTGCTACCATTTATTTATACTGAAGTGAGAAGACATATAAAACAATTCAGCAGAGAAGGGCACATAGCGAGCAGGTGTAACCATGTCCTTACTCTCATCCTCCCTTGCCTGTTTCCCTCCTATTGTTATACTATTTTTATGTCTTGTATATTTGATCATAAGCATTGTGGGGGAAGGTAATATCTTCCTATGAGTCTGCTGGGCATTGTCCAAACACCTTTGGGTGCTACTGCAGCACAATAATGAAAGACACCAGTCAGAGTAAACATTAGATTAGTGGTTCTCAAACTTCATTGCACCGTGAACCCCTTCTGACAACAAAAATTACTACACTACCCCAGGATGGGGGACCAAAACCCAAGCACACCTGAGTCCTACCGCTCCAAGTTGTGGGGGGCAAAGCCCGAGCCCGACCACCCCAGGCCAGGGGGAGGGGGGAAGCCAAAGCCCAAGGACTTCAGCCACAGGCCGGGGTGGCCTGTAACCTGAGCCCTGCCGCCCAGGGCTGAAGCCCTTGGGCTTCGGCTTTGGCTACTGGGGGTAGGGCTCGGGCTTTGGCCCTGGGCCCCAGCAAGTCTAAGCCAACCCTAGTGACCCCATTAAAATGGGGTTGCAACCCACTTTGGGGTCCTGACCCACAGTTTGAGAACCGCTGTATTAAATTATTTGCAGGCCTGATATCTAAATTGAAAGTTTTAGCTATATGAAAAGTAATGGTGGGGAAGCTGACAATGTGTTCTGAGATGGATTTGGGGGAGTTTCAAGGTAGGAACAGTCTGTATGGCTTTATTTTTATAAATGTTTGTGTGCTGTGTATGCAGCAAGGTATTTGGTGAAGTTAAGATATGTACGCTGACTATCTTATTTATATGCTTAATACTATACAAAGACCCCAAGAACTCTGCAGCAAACTAGACCTAAATTTTGCAGCAAGGCTGCCTGGTTTTTCTGGCATTCCAGTGAGGCAGATTTGTCCAGGTCTAAAAATTGAGGCTTTTACTGACAACAGTATGAAAGCAAATTACACAAGCAGTCAAGTTTTCCTTGTGGCATTTGTTTAATGTTCATTTCAGATTATTTTACATTGCCCCAAATTTTCAGTTTTCATTGTGCTGCAGATTTATCTGTGAGAGTAGTTGGAACTTTTGGTACCCACACATGCATGGGAGATAGAAATTTCCAGGCTTAGGACAGTTCACCTAAAAAAAAAATGTATAATCTATTTTAGTTAAATTGGTTCATAAGACAAATTTAGAGTTTCCACATGGGGGGAGGAGGGGAGGGTTGCATTAATTAAAGGTTATGATTTAAAAGCTGATTGTAACTTCAGTGGTGCAAACTTAGTTCAGATAAAGCCTTATGCTGGCAATTTTGCGTTTGGTTTGTATTTCAAAAGTTTTCACAACCATGATATCTAGAAACTTAATCCAGTGTTCAGTGAAAGCTGTGATTATCCAGTTCACTTCTATGGCAGATCTCACTGCTGTTTGAATGCATGGGATCTTCACTATAAAGACACAGGTTTTATTTAATACATGAAATTCTTTAGATCCAGTCTTTATGAATGGACAGCATATCAGCATCAGGATCCTAAAATAGATGCAAATTTCCACGCTTTTGAGATCCCGGGGACTTTTTTTCTTACCTTTGGGAAAGGTCATATGCCTTGAAAATTACATACATATCTTTCAGATTGTAGTCAAAGGATAATGATTCCAGAGAAATAAAAGCTGTACTATACTGTGACAGAGACCTAGCACCTTTTGGACTGTCAAGCGCAGTCCTTACAATAGAGCACATAAATGTCACTGTAGTGACATGTATCGAATTGGCAACTGATTTTTCTGTCACTCTGCCATAGAGTTTGGTCTCACACATAGGTGCCTGGATTGTGTTTTTAGACCTACTTCAAGAACTCAGAAAGCCTGTGGAAGGCAGCAATCAACACCATAAGGCGAAGAAATCAGGGAACGTCTCCAACATCCCAGCAACTGATTCTAGGCACAGGTCACCCTCAGTCCCGGAAGAGAGTAAGCTATGAGAACTTATGTGAATCCTAGAAAATGCCAAGCATGCTGAACTGTAGAAAGGAGCTGGGATCTGGATAGACATTGGGGAAGGTAGTGTAACTTAATGTGAAATTCTGTCTTTATATTGCAAGTCTGGGATGTGATTTGCAGGATAGCAAGTGAGTGATTCCCAGGTTGTGCTAATATTAGTTGTCTTGTTTATAGTGTATTTATCTGACTGCACTGAAATCCTGCTTGCAACTATTAATTTTGGTTTCCTGTTTCTCTCTCCAGAAATGGAATACCCAGTTGATTTTGCCTGCGTGCAGCACTGACGCAAACAACCCAACTAGGAGCAAGGAGATCAATCATGCTGACATCCTCAGTCACAGTGAATCTTTCCCAGTGGAGCAGCTACACACCTTCTCCCAGCTCTTACAGAACATCCACCGCCTAGAGGTGAGTGTCATGAAGGCCTCAGCTTGAGCATGTGTAATCTTAAAGGTGACCTAGGGATATATATCAATAACCTATTTATTGGGGAATAGGTGCACATGTTATCCATCTCCAAAGGGATATACTGTATTGGGGAGTGATATGCAAACCTGGAACCTGTGTGTATTCCCTGGTGGAAAGGGTGTGGACTAGTGTCAGCTTTCTTTTGGTACCATTCAGAAGCAGATATTCAATAGCTGGTTGTCCCGGTTTCTCTTGCAGTTTCCTTCCCAGATGGGCTCAGTGCTAAGGAATTCCTTGCTGCTTCACTACATTAATTGTATCAAAGATGAATCTATCTACTTAAGGCTCTACTATTGGATGGGCCAGACTCTTCAAGAAGGTAGGAACTTAACATTACCAGGTATGGTGGGGAGGAAAAGGGATAACTTTGAGGCTGTAATGGTACTTAGCTGTACCGGCATATGTGATTGTTTTACTGGTACATAAAAATACTATCTGAGATGACAGCATTGACTTTAACAGTACCCATGGGGGGTGGGTTGCATTCTGCTTCTGGTTGTTGCATCCTTGTCTGTACTCCTTGTACTCTGTTACGTTATTCCCTCTGGTTTAGAATGCACTTGGTATAAACTTGATAACCAGCAGTATGAAGAAGAGTTCAAGGACTTCCTGGATATTGTCTACAAGACAGAGTGTTTCTTGCAGGTAAGCACCTACTTAATGAAGCCCTGTTCTCAATTAAGCCTTTGCTTAGGATGTATTTGTGGCTCATCCATTTCCTGTGGGATGCCTTAAAGATTACGATCTTAGAAACAGCAATAAGAGATCAGCAAAAATGTGTTCAAAGGGCAAGTCCAGGTTGCTGAACTGCCCCCTCTTTCTGGAGAAATGATAATTTGGGAAGCAGCAGTCATTAGCTGATGGATTGCATGAGGGAGGGGAAGAGGGAGGGACTCTGCCCTTCTTTAGTGAATTGTGGCGGGGAGTCAGAAAAGGGAAGGGATTGTGATGAAATTTTTTTTTGGAAGGTTTTAATCTTGTACCTTTCAGGAGGGGTTCTCTTCCTGTGAAGAATTCTTGTATAAGAGCCTTCCCCTCTGGGATGGTTTCTGCTGTCGATCGCAAATCCTCAGGCTGGTGAGCTGGATCCCCCTCAGCAGCTTCTCGGGTATGTAGTCTAGACTATGATCTCAGACTATATCTGATCTGGCTGGATTGGATTCTTCCATAGATATTTGACTTCTCTCCTCTGTTTTCAGAAATGAAACCACATCTTTGTGAACCTCTGGCACAGCTTTTTTTTACATCATCCCTTTATTTTAAGGTAATTCAAGGTCATTATATTGGTCACATGCAGATCTAGTTGGTATTGCTGTCCCCGCTATGGGAGGTAGGTAAAGCAATCTACAGACAGTAAAATGGGCTTCCCAGTTTGGCGTTTGATCTGGACCCGTCCAACATGGGTCCTCTCCAGTTTACAGAGAGAGTTAAAATGTATAGTGGGGAAGTAACTATTTTAGGAAGCCCTCTGGCCCTTTTTTTTTTTTTTTTTTTTAAAGGCGATTTAAACTGGAAATAAGCAAGTGTTTGAATTGGAAATACACCTCTACCTCGATATAACGCTGTCCTCGGGAGCCAAAAAATCTTACCGCGTTATAGGTGAAACCGCGTTATATTGAACTTGCTTTGATCCACCGGAGTGCGCAGCCCCGCCTGGAGCACTGCTTTACCGCGTTATATCCGAATCTGTGTTATATCGGGTAGCGTTATATTGAAGTAGAGGTGTACAAATATCTTTTGCACCCACCATGCTGCTGATTTAGGATGGTAAAATCCAGTAAGACAACTTTTATTCTTTTGTTTCATCATTTCAGCCTGAGTTCTGTGTCCCTGCACTTGTTACACCCTCTGTTAATCTCCCTGCCTTGAGTGCAAGTGTCCTATATGGAGACCTACATGGAGGCTTCAGCTTGCTCTCTCCCCAGTCTTTCTCGTAGTCCTGATGATAAACTGTCTGAAACCTTCACAGTATACTTTGAAAATGATGGCCCATTTTTATTTAGCATTCAGACACTCCTCTACAATATACATAATTCACTGCTTTCTTTCCGTCCTGCAGTGTAGTGTTCTTGAAAGTCTGAAGGAGCTGTTGCAGAACTGGCTGAATTGGCATGTGATGCAGTTGGATGTGGAGTCTGATCCTAAAATCAGTCCTTTGTAAGTTCATCTGAATTGCACACAATGCAGTATTTGTGTGTGTTGTGCATGAAAATATCCTGTTCTTATTCCCCACCACAAAAGTGACTAAAGAGTCAGAAAATGCTTTACTGCTTCTGTGACAATTAGCTTAGTTGTGAATCCTGTTCTTTATTTTATTTTTTTTTTTTTAATGTATTGCAATCAAGGTTGCTACGGTTTATTCATATCTTGTATCTTGCAGTAACATAATTAAAAGTACATATCTTAATGTTTTGTATGTCTTTTCAGCAATGTAGTACTCAAAATAGAATGAATGTACCACTAGCATGAACCACACTTGCAGCATTTTATTAAGGGAGTTCTGGGGTATGGCTGGATAGCCTCTGCATAATCCTTGTTTGCCCAAGTCAAAATTCCTTTTTCACTCATTTCTACTTGATGACACAAACTGTTCTTTTCTATGCCTAGAAAATACTATCATCTGCCTAGGGTCTCATACCCAACTCTTCCTCATAGTATCTGAACATTTAATTCATATCCCTCCCTTTCTGACTTATGAGCGCTTTTTTAAATTGTCAAAATAGTAAATATCCCAACTTATCTTAGACCACAAAGCAGGCAGGTTGGGGTTAGTTTTGTCAATCCAGGCTTGAGGCTGTAACACTGAAGCAGTGATGCAAAAAGCTATGTTTAAAAATACTAACATTGAGAACATACATGCCCAAAAGTCAGCAAATTGAAGTCAAGAACCCTCCAGCAATGAAGATGTGGCCATGTTTTGTGTAGTATTTTGGATAACTCTGTTCTGTTTAATTTGTGAATGTATCCAAGTTAATGTTGCTGACTTCAACACTGATGGTGGGGAAACCTAGAGTTCTCTTGTCATTCTGCTTAACTCTGCTCTGTATTTTAAAGCTGACAAGTTGTGTTAACATTGTCTGTTTCTCTGACTGCTGTTCTAGGAACACCACTCTTTCTGGACTGGTGAACTCTGTGGCTGAGCTGATCCACTTTGTAGGGTGGATCGCCACTGTAGCACTGCACTTGGAGAACAATGCTACTTTCTTGCTGTACTTTATTCTGGATTTCTATGAGACAGTATGTATATCCCATTACTCTTAGCATTTTAAGATGTCCAACCTCTCTAAGAGCAGTTTCCACTCATTGTGCAAGAGCATAACATATCCTTCCTTGTAATAATTTGTAGATGTTATGCTTGATTAAGTGCTACATCCTCCTAATTGCTGGACCGGTCCACTAGTCATAGATGATAACTGCTGCATCCAAGTTTAAGGCCAGAGGGACTACCAGTTTAGTGGTCTGAAATGTGCAGGTCAGACTAGACAAACTCCACCCAGTTTACCCCCAAATTTAGTTTAATCCAGATTTTTTTTGACTCAAGTACTTCAGACCTCTGGAAACTAAATTGTGTGCCACAGACAGAGAATAGGAGAGATCAAGAGGTACTAATGCCCACGGCCTCTGTAATGGCATGGAATTGAGTAGGTGAGAGATGCCCAGATGAGCCTAGCAAGCAACCCAAGCCCCATGTTCCAGTGGAAGGCAAAAGAATCACAGGGTCCCTGCCAATCTGACCTGGGGGACAATTCCTTCCTGGACCCAAAAAGGGCAGTCTGATCCTGAGCATGTGAGCAAAAGCATCTGAGAGAATTCTCTATACTGCCTGACCCCTTCCAGGAGACTAACTGAAGACGTGAAGCATGGATCCAAATAGCTATCATAGAGAATTTTGTATTGTTTTTTAAGGGGGTTGGGTGCTATTGATATTCTCACACACACGGAATAGCAAGATATTAAAGGAATACAACTAACTTGAAAAAACTCAAATTTTAATACTTTTAAATACTTTTTAAAATATTTTTCTGAAAAAATTAAGACCTTTTCTTTACTATTTGTTTCAGAGTGTGGTGAGTAAAAACATGATTTAAAAATAAAGGGATTTTATATAAATTACATTTTCTTTTTAAAAATAAAAATTTGAATCTGACGACAATGTTAAGGTCTAAACTTATTATAATCTATTAAAATCATTTTAAATTAAAACCAACACTCAGGCAGTCCATGTTTGGGGCCAAACTACTTAACCTGGAGGAAGTCACTGGCTAAACTCCTGGAACCAGAGTTTATTGAAGTGCTAAACCAGCTTTTAACAGAACTGGTTGAATCAACTAGTTCATTGAAAGTGGAGAAATTGATGAGGAGTTGAAAAAGCAAGAAAACTTGTCTTCATCTTTCAATCAATGAATAAAAACAATGTGTGATAGCATGAGGCATCCTAGTTCTAAAATCTTAAAGGATATTGTGACCAGAAGTAATTAGTTGAATCTAGAGTTGCAGCCGTGTTAGTCTGTATCCGCAAAAAGAACAGGAGTACTTGTGGCACCTTAGAGACTAACAAATTTATTTGAGCATAAGCTTTCGTGG